TGCCTGCCTGCCTGCCTGCCTGCCTGCCTGCCTGCCTGCCTGCCTGCCTGCCTGCCTGCCTGCCTGCCTTATCTATTATCTATTCACCTATCTGTCTATCTATCTATCTATTTATCTACTTAGCTATCTATCCATCTATCTATCTATTTATCTACTTAGCTATTTATCCATCTATCTATCTATTTATCTACTTAGCTATCTATTCATCTATCTATCTATCTACCTATGTATCTTGTACCTCGCCATTTTGCTATCTATTTATCTATTTATCTGTTTTTATCTATTTGCTTATCTCTCTATCTATGTATCTATCTAGCTTTTTGTTTATTTATATATATATTTATCTGCTTTTTATCTATATGTTTAGCTATCTGTGCATCTATCTATCGATGTATCTATCTGTCTATCTATGTATATCTGCTACTTCTCCTTTTTCTCCCTCTCTCATTCTATCCCAAAGGAGGGTTCGCTTACTCGGTGCTATGTCTACTACGTACTCCCGTACTCAGGAGAGCGACGCGTGGGCCCTTCTGGCACTGAAGTCGGCACCGGCCAGCCCGACAAAAATGCAGTGGAACCCGGAAGCAAAAGGTGCACCGATTGCACGGCTAGAGGGTCGCGAATTTGAATACATGGTTAGACAGCGACGTATCACTATCGGACGTAACAGCAGCAAGGGTGAGGTCGACGTCAACATGGGCCACTCCAGCTTTATCTCACGACGACACCTTGAAATCTTTTATGATCATCCTTTTTTCTTTATGATTTGTAATGGTAAAAATGGTGTTTTTGTTGATGGGGTTTTTCAACGAAAGGCCGCGCCTGCCTTCCAATTACCAAAGACGTAAGATATGTTTCAAGTCTTTATCGAGCCGACTTAACCTTTCTTGCACGTTTCTCGCATGCCACTGGCAATCTTATTATTCGGTTTTTATGTAGCTACTTTTGTCTGTGCCAGTGTCTCTTTACTCAAGTTAAATTTGTTTATTAACCCCTTGCAGTGTTATTTTTCTGAAATTGATACTATCATTTTCATTTAATAACAATGAAGAATTATCTTATGCTTTCCCATAAAAACAATTCTTGAAGAATTTGTATAAATGTTATTTTCACTTTTTGCACTTGTTTTTGACAACATTGTTTAATTCTTTTATGATTCTCATCATTGAATTTTAATATTTATTCTGTTACAGATGCACATTCAGATTTCCAAGTACAAATATAAGACTCGTATTTCAATCATTAGTGGATGAACAAGAACAAAGTAACATACGTGTACCTTCTCCTCCAAAACATAGAGCACCATTACCACCGTTACGTATTAATATTCCGGATGCAGGCTATAGTAGTCCATTTCCTTCTCCTACTGGGACAATTAGTGCTGCTAATTCATGTCCTGCTAGTCCACGTGCAGGACAAGGAAGGAGAAACATATCTGCAGATCTCCAAATGGTAGCTGTTTATGCAGCTGCTGTTGCAAATGATCCTCAAAATTCTAATATCGACAGACATGAAGGAGGGCAAAGTTCTAATAGACAAATAAGCCCTGAGCCTGGTGTTGAGTCAAGATACAGAGGTGGAAGTAATAGCGGTCCAAACGGCACAACAGCACACTGTAGTCCACCAAAAGATGATTCTAAACCTCCATATTCATATGCACAGCTAATTGTTCAAGCAATTGCGTCAGCTGCAGATAAGCAGCTCACATTGTCTGGCATTTATTCTTATATTACCAAGAATTATCCATATTATAGAACTGCAGATAAAGGATGGCAAAATTCAATAAGGCATAATCTTTCATTAAATCGTTATTTTATTAAAGTACCAAGAAGTCAAGAAGAACCTGGAAAGGGATCTTTTTGGCGGATAGATCCACAATCAGAAGCTAAACTTATAGAACAAGCATTCAGACGAAGAAGGCAACGTGGAGTACCATGTTTTCGTGCCCCATTTGGTCTTTCATCTAGGTGGGTAGATATTACAAATATTTTTGTTTTACAATTATATAAATATTAGTTGTTAAAGATTTTAATCTAATGTTTATAATGTTTGAAACTATTATTAAGGAGTGCACCTGCATCGCCATCTCATGTTGGTATCAGTGGCTTAATGACACCAGAATGTCTTAGTAGAGAAGCCTCACCTGGGCCAGAATCTTATCCAGATAGCACTGTGTCTTCTCCAGCTGGTCAGTTGACTAGTCAATCCGCACCAGGCTCACCTGGTCATCCATATGCATCCTCAAGTCAGTCATCTCATAAAGGTCGCCTAATGCAACAGATTACTGTTGTCACCAATGGTGTTAGTAGTGATGCGACTAGAGAAGGTAATAATTCTCTATATGGTTTTCCAATATTTCCTGTTTGCAGGGAAACATGCTAAAGATCATGCTTATTCAGCAACTCAGTTACGCTTTTTATATACTTTTCTGTTTCCATTTATTAGATATAATAAAAATATCTACTATTGAAATATATTTAAATGCTTTTTCAGATAAATATGTCATATCTGGAAACACTACGGAAGAACATTCTCTTTCTCCAGCTGGTCAATATAGTCCAGCTCCTGTTATTGTACAGACCACATATAATTATAGGTAAGTTTAAGATTTCTGTTGCTTTACCTTCTTTGTCAATTCAGGAAAATTAATTATTATATTATATCGTCACGTTCAGTGGAAGCTTTATTGGTCCCGACGCAGGCGTCGGAGTTGCAAAGCGTTCACACGAAGAATCGGATAGTTCTCCAGGTTCACCGGCACCGCTTGCCATTGTTGAAAGTCCCGAACCAGCTGAACATCAACAGCCACCGACTAAACGTCAACGTGTTCATGAAATGGAGGACCACTGAACGATCGTTGTCCTAGACTATCGTTATGTAGGACATTTTTTGTTACATCGCGCTACTCGCTCATTGTCAAATGTATCTGCACGCGCGTGTACCTCACACTTGTTCGTGTGTGCGTCCGTCAACACGTGCACGCTTCATGTTCAGAATTTCGAATCGATGTTCATATCCATACCGCGTTTAAGTCTCTCCATACATTTTCATCTTTGGTGCGCGTGCGTCGACAAATACGTACATGTACACACTTTGTTCTGTACTATTTTTCATTTTACCACATCGTGGTTACTTTAGTTTCTGCGTATGATAAATACTCGATACAGTTTATTGTTTTACGCAACAAGTGAAATATTCGTAAAAAAAAGCGAGAGCAGACAAAGTTATTCCCTCGTCTTACATTCTAACCACACTTTTAGTGTTTTATATTTTTTTCTTTTTTAACTTTCGAATTTCAACGAACTGTTAACGTGGTAACATAATCAACGACGTCTTGATTATTAGTATACACATATGTGTTTCGTATAAATATATTTTTCACGTTTCTGTTTGATGATATGTCACAAAAAGATGATGGGAGCTTTTACGTATTTATAAGAGGGAATAAATATTTGTAACAGTCTTGAAAGAGTATTATATGTAAAAAGCATCATGGATAAAATCATATCGTAATATATTCAAAAAGATGTTGAATCTCAATAGAAGGAAATATGTTAAAGCAGTTCACGTTGTTCGCCTTAGTGCTTTGCAGGAAAAGATCACCTATTCTAGAACGTTGCTAATACTGGTAAATGAACCTGTTTAAGAAATCTGTTGTAAATTATACATTTTCCACCATAAATAAGCTAATGGGGTCTAAGCCATAATATTTCCCTTCATGAATCAACTTGATCGGATATATAATTACATATATCTCTTTGAATATTTTCTCAAATGTTGTTTTCGTTGAATGTCTAGGTATTATTGGAGAAGAAAGAATGTTCACTGGCTATTTTCAGTTTTTGAACTCGACTGTTCACGTTGTATCAGTCGATGAATGAAATCGATTATGACGCAATTCGCGTTCATTGAGATGTTCGCGAATCGTAGACACAAACTTTAGATTGTAGTTCTGCATATGATTCTACAAAGTTTCTATCTAAAAAAGAAAAAAAAAAGAAAAAAAGGGAAAAGAAAAAATAAGCAATAATCTTATGCTGAATACGTCGATCGAAATTTCTTTCTGACGTGCCTGTTTATCTAAACAAAGATATTAACGTACTATAATCATACAGGAGGAGGTGATAGTATTTTTGTTGCCACTTGTAAATAAACTCTTAAATGAATATTCATTGCTTCAAACTGTTTCTCTTTGCGTTAAAGAAGGTCGGGAAACGTCTGCTTGCCTCGTGGTACGAGATAGACAAATAATAAAATATAATAATTTAAAATTATGTAGAATTTAAAAGATGAATGATCTGAAACAACCTTACAATTTGATACGCGACTTTCGAATTTAAAGTAATCCTATTAAATTTTTCTTTTCCAATTTTTAATTTTTTAAAAATTGGTAGAGATGCATTTCGGACGTGCATTAGAAAGGTCATACGAGTTGTATTCCATTTTTATTGTCGATAATTATTGTATCGTGAAATCAAATCAAATAAATATTAATCTGTTTTTCATGAAGCAAATAATATATTAACGGGATCTGAGGATCGTTTCACGAGAAGAGCAGAAGCGAGACATTTAGCACATCGATTATATTTCTGTTCTTTATTTAGTTCTTTATATTTCTGATTAAATTTATAAACATTTGCTGTTAGATGATGTATATTCTATGAAATGATTTATATTTTCGCGAAATGACGAATTTGAGAAACAAGATTTCTGTTTGATTCAACAAAATATTTTACTTCTATTTTTATGTTTGCGAAATTACATTTACGATTGTATTATTCATCTATAATTTTATTTTGTATACAAAAAGTTTCATAATTTTTCTTTTACAATCGTTAATTTCGATGCATATACATTTTCTTTTTTACTCTCTTCCGTTTACTTTTTTTTTTCGTTTTTCTCTTTATAAAGGAGCCTATAATTTCAGTTTGGAAAGAATCCATGATCAAAATTGTTTTTTCACATGATTTTTCGGCCATAAACCCTTCAATTTTCTTGAATTCATTCATGTGCACTTTCCTTGATCAAATGCGAAAAAACAAAAGAGTTATTAACCTATTAATGAATGGAGGGAAAGAAAGTTTAATAAATCATAGAATGGCATGTGTTTGACGAGGATTAAAATAAGTGTTTTTAGATTTTTATTTCTATATTTATTAGAAAATAATAGAAGTGTACGTGATAGAAAGGATATAACATACGTTAAATTGTCTAAATAATATTTATGAAACACGGGAGAATGTAAAATATGCTTACAAAAGCAAATATATATGCCAAAAGGAATTGTAAGAGAAAAGAAAACAGGAAACGAGGAAGAAGAAGAGGGAAGTGAGAGAGGGCAAGAGGGAAAGCGAAGAAGAAAGAGGGTGTAGAGAGTTTGCGCGACGTTCGACCCGAATCTCTCTCATCGGATGTTAAGCCAGCTAGCGAGCTATCCAGCCAGCCAGCCAGCCAGCCAGCCAGACAGACATCCAGCCATCTAACCAGTCAGCAAGCCAGTCAATCAGCCAGCCAGCTAGTCAGTTAAAAAGCCAACCAATCTACCAACCTTTCATTTAGTCTACGTTCTGAAATTTTACGTCAACAATTGATGGATGCTCAATATTTTAACTGGTACAGTAATGATTCAATTTATCTTTTTATTTGCTGTTCTTCATTTGTTTTTTTGGTCTTTATAAAAGTTCGCTCTTAATGTTTTTAGATTTGTCCCACATTCTTGTTCCCTTTTCTTCTTATCTTTTTCTTATCTCTTCATATCTTATTCTGCTTTGTTCCCTGCATTTTCCTCATATTGTCATATCTTTCACCCTTATTCTACATAACTACAATTCTTGTTCTTCCCTCCTCCTTCTAATTTTTAATGTGCAAATTATAACTATATATTCGTATGACTTTATTTAGTAAAATTATCATCTTATTCTTTTTTGATATATACATTTGATTGATCATTCATATTTTTAAATATGTAACATTGCAGTAATTTATCAAATTCTGTGTTAAATTGAATACGTGCTAAAACAAGTGGTGAAATAGCAAAAACATATAGGGGAAACTGAGAAGGGATAGAAAGTAGAATAACTAATGGTTAAAGAATAAGCAAAAGATTTCTCAGTGTAAAAAAGGAACCTTTGCTAATAATGATCTTTCGATAATGCAGTACTCTAGTATCCATTACCTCGTAAAAAGCTCGTCTGCGCTCGCGCAGTATTTAGCGCGTATTTGATTTATCAATGTGGTTATGTGTAAAGAAGAGCTTTAAAAAATTAGTCATCTTGCATAAGATATATGGTTACTCGCATTCATTATAAGTATAAACGACAAAGGTATGGAATATACGTTGATTCGAAATGTTAGTAAATGCTGGTGGTGTTATCGTAATTTCAAGAAAAAAACAAAGTTTATACGACTAACTTTTAATTTATATTTTTAAAATCTATGTTTCAAAACAACTTTCGTTGTATATTTCAAATAACTTGTTATCAACGATTAACTCATGAACACATTTAACTACGATTCATTATTCTAAACATAAGTCAATTTCTCGCGTTCTACAGGTAGTAAAAATGACTCTTTATTTTGATAAAACATAAAACAAATAAAATATCATCATTCTGAAGACACCTCGACTAAGTAAGTAATTATTTAATTTATTCATGTAAGGACAAACATAGTGTGATTTGACAAACTATGTATTCTTATTATAGTACAATAGGTAGTACAATATAGAAATTTTGTTTATGATTACGTGTATTGTGTTTTATACGCGTTCAAGTAAATTCCTTTTTTTCTGCATAATTTGTATATTTAAATTGCATACTCTGTTCCTAACTGTTAGTATGTGCGTTCCCTTTTCGAATGTAATTTATTCCTATATTTATCGATGTAGGTATTTTCTAATCTTGGGAAAGATCCGAAATTAGCGTATTTTTGCGCCAATTTAAACAAAAAGATATCGAGAGAAAAAACATGTCAAAACAGAGCTGAAAAAGTGAAATTTCTATAGCTGCGCGTACGGAAAAGGGGGAGTCGGAAAATATATGTAATTTACTCGGTCCTAAACTGTCAACAAGAGGAGAGTTAACACGGATTGAATCAATTATAGCCCCGTTTTGGAGTGAACGAGCAATCAACGGAACGAGCAATTTCCGGGCTTAGTTAATCCATATAACGAGTAAATGAATTTTGATTAAGTATTGTATTTGACCATAGCCTGTGGATTATGTTTACAATGTAGGTGTGAAGATGAAGAAAGAATGGTATCAAGTAAGAATCCGTTTGGCATTTTCCCATTCATATTTATCTTTGTGATAAACTTTCCATTCGGTCTATTCAGATGGAAATTTAATGATATGTGCATATACGTTACAATGTATCGTAGTATATTGAAAAATGTGTTTAACTACACGTCGATTTGTAGGTACTGTGATGTAAAAGAGAATAAGCAATGCTAGGAAGAGGAAACCAGAAATTAGGTTGACAGTATAAGGAGTCGTGAAACAGTGCGCATATCTTGGAATGCTTATACCGGTGGTATCGAGCACCTGGGGCTGGGGATTCTACGCTCTCTTCTTATTCGTTCTCGTCACCCCCAGTCCTGCTGCTATTCGCAAAGGTAATACGCTCTTCGGTTATGTCTCTTTACAATAAAAATCTATGAAATTTTTCACATTAAAATGCATACTTTTTTCTTCTTCTTAATATTAAACTTGGAGATATTATTTTTTCAGTTTAAACGACAAGAGAAATGGATACAGATTTCTAATTATATCCATTTTTCCTTTACACTTTCTTTCTTTCATTTCTTTCTCTTCTCATCCCTCAGCGGATCGAGATCATTGCAACAAAACAGTAGGGGTAAATGAAGATGTATCGAGTCCGGCTGTGACATCAGTAAACTGGGGAAAACCATTGTCTTGCTCGTATCGTTTCCGTTCATTTCGTGGTACTCCACAAGATTGGATCCTACGAGTGCGTTTCAAAAAATTTAAAGTTGGTGTATTAGAAAATGCAACTACATGTTCCGGAGGTTATTTACAGGTATGCTTTTTTCTCATATAGTAGAAATGGCGCGCAGTGCCTGTCTCTATCATTGTGCAGTGTAGTTTCTCATTTCAACTGAAAATTCTAGAAAAAGTAAATGCCATTTAATGTATATCGTACCATTCGCAGATCGTAGATGGAAATGTGAAAACAAATATCACCAATCGGGAAGATCCTGGAGTTTACTGCGGTGAATTGGAACAACCGCAAACATTTATTTCCGAAACGAGTTTCGTTCGTGTGATATTCCATGCAGACAACTTCACCGATCAAACATATTTTAGTTTCGACTCTCGCGCGGAACAACAATTTGACGTATACTTAAGGTTCGGCCAACATCCAGAACTTTATCCGAACCGAAGGGGCACAATCGTATCCGGCAGCTATTGCGAACGAGTTTTCGAAAATTGTAGACTACAAACGTGTTATGTACAGAGCCCAGCTTATCCGGGTATTTACCCGCGTGCATTACATTGTAAGTATCGACTTAATACACGGGCGCCTTATATAAAATTGTACATTGAGAACAAAGAGTTCAATATCGACGGGCAAAGATGCGAAAACATAATGACTTGTCCCATGAGACCAATAAGTTCTGGCTCAGAGCATTGTCCGTATGACTACATACGCGTTTACGATGGCAAAGATGGGAATAGTACAGCAATCGGTACCTTTTGCGGTATGGGGAAATTTCCGTATAGCATAATCGGTACCAGCGAGGACCTTTACATAGAATTTATCTCATCACCAGCTGGACCCCTTTTAAATACCGGCTTTCATTTTAATGTTGGTAATTTGCCGGGCCATGTAAAGACCGAGGGCGTTCAAAATGGTAGTTGTGATTGGTTGTTAAACAGCGAGTCTTTACACAGCGGTAACGAAGGAATATTTCTTTCGGTTGCACACTGGTATCCGCCGCATACTAGTTGTACGTATCTTCTCAAAGGTCGACCGGGAGAAATTGCAAGACTTTATTTTCCTAGTTTTCGAGTTAATCGCATCCAATCGCCTATACAACCATACGATGGTGATTGCGGTGAAAGTTTGACTCTCTACGATGCCGACTGGCCAGATGATGCTAAAATTATTAAAACTTTTTGCGACACGTTTAGCAAACCGATGGAGAAACATGATTTTGTTTCGAGCTCAAACGCTTTATTCGTCAAGTTTGAGAGCAAAACGGGAAGTTATTCTGGTAGCTCGTTATATTATTGGGCGCATTATGACTTTTTTAATGTGACGAGATTTGGCACCCCTGTTCCTGGAACCGAATGTGACGAAACATTTGCATCTTGGAAAGAACGTTCTGGTCGATTTCGATCACCATTAAATACCCTCGTTTACAAGCGACCAGGTGATCCACCGACAGATCTTTCTTGCACTTATACCTTTATCACAGACAAGCGGTTATATGCACGAGTAATTCTTATTGTGGACTCAATTTCATTCAAAGAGCATCCGTATGCACAGTGCGGTCAATGTTGGGATAGTCGAGTCGATCGATTAATTATCAGAGAACCTCCTTTCATACATGTTAACGATCAATATTCACAACAACAACAACAACAGCAGCAGCAGCAGCAGCAGCAGTATCATCATCATCATCAGCAGCAGCAGCAGCAGCAGAAACAACAGCAGCAGCAGCAACAGCAACAACAGCGTCAACAACAAAATAACAGTGTCGATAGAGGTCATTGTATCTGTCGATCGACAACGATTAATGAACCAAACGGTGAAGGTCAACCGGTACTTCGCGTAGTTTCACGAGGTGAGAAACTTGAGTTAAAACTTTTAATAGATGGTGCGCATGCCGCAGCGAGCTACTTCAAACAATCCTCACCGTTGTTCGAGGCAAGATATGAATTTGCTCACAGTCCATTATGCGGACCAGCAATTTTGCCAGCTACGACCGATGGTGAAATTGAATTCCCTCATTATGAAGCACTCGGATACGTTGCACCACCTCGATCAATCAAATGTATCTGGGAATTACGTGTAAATCGAGATAGAGATGTTTGGCTGCATTTCGACAAAATTAAGTTTGCCTCAAGATCCTGTGAGGATGGAAAATTGGAAATCTTTCTGCCTGGAACTGCAGAGCCATTTCTTGGTATATGCGGTGAAAATGTTAGTTATGTTAGAGAAATGCCAATTATATCGGCAGCTCAGATCGCTCCATATATTCGTACACCTGGGAACCACGATTCTGCACACTTCAATATGGATTTTGACCAAGTTCAAACATATTTACAACAGTCAGCATCACCGCCAATGTCACACTCATCGCTACCAACGGAGCAATACCAAGAAGAATTTGATTGGCCGACCGTGATCATTCAATTTACTGGATCTATGGCCCCAGCGAGAGCGGCATTTAAAATCGCCTGGACGGAATTGTATCATCTGCCACGTGATGCTTCAGGGTCTTTGAATACACAAAAACTGGAAGAATTTTGTGGATTTCAATGTCCGGGAAATGCTGGTTGTATCCCTATGAGACTTGTTTGCAACGGTGTTATTAATTGCCCTGTACCAGAACTTCGATCGATGTTCAAAAATACGCATAATAGTACCGGTTTGTTGACAATCGTAGAGGAACCGAATGATGAATCCATTGAAGCTTGTGGAGCCGATGTTGTCAGTAAACATGGTAATATTGTCGGATCTGGAAATGGTGTTGGTGGTTTAGCAAGCGTTGTTGGTTCTGCCGGATGGGCAGGAGCTGGTTTAGGCGCAGCCCTTGCTATTCTTCTCGGACTTATTTGCTTGATTACTGTATGCAAAATTTGCAGGCAGCGAGCAACCTCTAGGGATATTCACGTATCCTATTGACATAGACATAGACACGGTCATGGACACAAATTCAATTACAAATGTGAACATAAATACCGATACAAGTACAGGCACGTAATCATGGAAAACCTTTTCTGTTCTTTTCTTCTGTTTCCCATGCTAGATTAGCGGATCTTTGTACATTATCTTGATGCGAACACTATCAGTGGATGACGTTCGTATTTGTGCCAGCGACCTGATCGTAAATCTTTGAAAGAAATTTTATCGCTCCACCCGTTTTATCCACATCGATGGACAAGAAACAAGAAACAATGGCAAATTAGGTGGATGACTGATTAAGTAGGTAGATAAAATAGGTAAGTATTTTAAATATACATACATCTATACGTCTCCTCCAACCCCACCCCCCGCCATCCCCTTCACCCTTCTCTATGTGTGTGATGCATCACAATTGCAAGTATACATTTTTAACCGAAAAATCTGTTGCTTGGAACTATTTCTTAGTTGAGGAAGAGCATTTTATATATCTATCATACAATAATATTAACAGTTATATGACTTTCTTTTCCGAATATGTATACGTATATTAATATACATACGTACGCACGCACGCACGCACGCACACGCACGCGCACGCGCACGCACATGCACACACACACACACACACGCGCGCGCGCGCGCACACACACACAGAGTGGAAAGGGGAAGCAGTAAAAGAATGCAACAAAAGGTAAAAAAAATCAGGAGGAAAGAGAATAAGTGATATATAAATAATACTAAAATATCTTTTTTCGACATGTTAAATAAATTGCGTATTAAAAAAATGGTACATATTGGAAACAGTCCTGCGAAATATGAATTATTTTTCAGTCATGCATATTATGTATACGAATATATTTGTAAGTAAATTCAACGAGGTAACAATCTGAGTATATTCGATTCATATTTAACTCACGTTCAATTTACAATTATATTCTTTTTATTTTTGCACAATATATTCGCGTTATACATATTGATAAGAGTGCCTGCAAATATTTGCACGTGTGCTTTATGCATCTATTAATGATGCACACGTATAATATCCCTCGAGGATATGCTAAAAAATATTGTATATATTGAAAATAGAAAATGATAAATGTAAGAGCGCAACTCAAGCAAATAACTCTTACATCAAACATCGATAAAATTGCTATTAAGTAATCTGATAAAAAATTATGTTTTTTTGTATATAGTTCAAAATCTCTGATTAGATAACATTTAATATTACTACATAGTAACTTAGAATATTAGTAGAAAATCGTTATAAGATTAAGCGTAAAGTTAATTTGCGCGTCCTCATGCGGTGATGCACGCGTGATCGAGTATGTGTACGCACGCGTATGTATGCGTTCGCGCACGTGCGTAAAAGACATTGTTTACTTGAGTATCACAAACAGGAAATGATTGGTATTACATTTACCTATATTTATTTGTCTTCTTAATTCGATTGGATTTCGATTAAGTTTATTACGCTACTGAACTATTATCAATTAATTATTCAGATTGTTGCAACTATGATCAATGTGTTCATTTAAACGACGACGAAGACAAAAGCATCAAATTATTCGAGACAATCGGAATTTACCTATCTTTTCTCTTTATTATAGACTAGAATACTGAATACCATTGCTAATTTCCAAACAAATTTATTAAACTATAGATTGAAATCATTTTTCTTACCATTCCGTCTATTCTGCTATTACGATATTCATCATGTCAAACATAGTAGCTCGAATTTATATCATTGTTCACACATTTGAGTTATTATACACGTTGTTGTCCTATTAATTTATTGTTTGCACCGTTATATTTAAGGTAAACAATAATTATCATTGAGATTTCGCGGAACTTCGTTGTGACATTATTTTTATTCATTATATTGCTGTTACTATGCTGTTTTTCATTGTTATCAACACTATTACCATCGTTAAAGAGATTGCTATTGCCAACAACATCAGCATTATATTATATTTTTTATTAATAAAAATTATCCTCCATGATAGGATGAAAAAATATTTAATGTTATTAAACATATTTAAATTAACCAGTTGCTATGATCGGATTAAGAGTAGCGTAGCCAGACGAAGACCATGCTTTCCATTTTTCTTACATTTTATCGAAAGCACTGCTTTTTCGCTTACTCCACTATCGTCGCGAATGTGCAGTTCTGCTGCCTGAACTTGCCTCAAATGAGGGAAAAGTAACGAGTGTCCCTTACAGAATTAGTAAGTATTCTTACGTAAGATGAGTTCGTCGTATACCGTAGTATAAAATAACACCCGTTATTTTTCCGCACTCCGTCTCAAAATACCTGAATCAGGCAAACAAGCAGGCAGGTAGGTATTTGTGATGAGAGTCAGGAGAACGAAGGGTGGTTAGCAAAATGTGCGTAGAAGGGAAAGCGTAGTCTCCTCCATCATTTTTAATCCAATAAATGTACATATATTTCATAATTTACGAGCGTTTTTCTTTTTCTCGTTTATCACAGTATCATCCATGTTTAAAATATTGTGATTATATTTTAATCTTTGTAAAGAATTATTATAATCATAAAACGCTCAATGAAAATTTACTCATGAAATAATGCAATCACGATATTTCTTCTTTATCTCTTTCTTTGTTTTTTTTTTCCTACAAAATCAGTTGAACTTTCTTTCTTCTTCTTTTTTTTGGTAAAATTACTTAACCTTCGTTTCCAGGTATTTGTTGTTCCTTTCCATTTCACTTAATTTGAAAATATGACAAATCAAAAAGTAAGCTACATAAATAAAGTAGAGGCAAGAAAATAAAATTTAATATCCTATTTTTGATTAACAAACATAATGGAATGGAAATGTGCCCCAGAAAACAATTATGTACCAAAAACGTCGCTTGTACCGAATGTTGAATTAATTACGGAAAATGTTTTTGTACCAATAAGAAAAACAATTTTTATGAAAAAACATAATGAAGCAAAACAGTGTAATTTTTCTGAATCAAGGATTGAAATTGTTAAATTGTGTCAATGTAGCAATAGTAAACTAACAATGTCATTGTTGAAAAAACCGAGTCGTCTTCCAGTAAAGAGATATGTGAATTCAAAACTCCATCCGAAACAAGTTATTTATTAAAATTGAACATTTTTCCTTTTGTATCTCCATTTTCGAGTTCTCTCTTCCTCTCCTTTCGTTCTTTCATTTCTTCAGGAAAAGCAGAGGAAGGTAATTAACATGTAACATTAACATGCAATATGTTTTCAGACTAACATTAAACACGAAGAGGTAAATTTGAAAAATAAGCAATTGCGTTTGATTAATAAAAATTGCAATTATATGAATGATCAATCAAAAATTTTTTCTGAACGATCGCGAAATAAAAAGCAAACATTGGTATTTCCTTCGTCGCTTTTTCATTTACCTTTGACTTCGCTCACTACATGTCAGGCCTTTTCGATCAATAACAATGTTATTAAATCCAACAAAAAGAAATGGAAAGAAAGCGATAAAACCAATGGAAAGAAAACAATTAGCTCCATTAGTAGCATTGTGTCAAATTTTTCAAAAACAAATGGCAACACTAAAGATTTAAAGTTGTACGAACCAGAAAATGTTATTTGTCGATTGCGATATAATTCTAAGCAAACTGAGTGTTTATTATCAAATTATAATGGAAAGATACAACTATCAGAAAACAATCTTTCAAATGATTCAATTACATCGAGTAATACGTCAAATATTTCGATTATATTAAGTACAACAACGACGGAAACTGTGAAAGAAGGCAACGTTGGAAAACAATGTTTTCTTGATTCTTATTGTAATTCTGTTCTAAAGAAAGTCGGTGCAACTGTAAAAGAGACAATTTCTGATAGTACTATTGATTATGAAGATCATTTTTTAAAAACACATCAGACAAATTCAATAGAAGATATACACAGTAAAATTTTGGATACGCATAATCTACAATGTCATCCTCAGGAGAATATTGATCATTCGATCCACAGAAATGAACATCATCATCTTTGTAGGATAAAGTATTCATGGCAGGTGATTGGTACAAGCTCACAAACATCGCAAACGCTTTTGAATAATTTAGTTAATGGAAATAAATGTTTCGACGATGAATCAGTCTACAATTGCAGTATTAAATATTCATGGCAAATTATAGGAATTGCTACACAAACTTCTTGGAAAGATTTTACTGCATCAGAATGTCATTCTGCTATTTCATTTTTATCCACAAATAAAAAAGTGATTTGCCATACTATTAAAAACACAATATGTGATTTATCACCTGAAACAACTACAATTTGGCGGAAAGGTAAAAGATTCATTGTATTAAATAACCAATGTACACAAACATTTGCTCACAAAGAAAGTCAAACAGTCTTTACCGAACTTCACAAAAACTATTGCGATTAACAAATTATGCTGATTTTATGTCAAAAGCGCTATAATAAATTTATATATATGTAGTTAATAATAGTAACTTTATACACACATGTACACGTATATCTTCTTTTCACTCACTTTCCAAAATTAATTAATTAATTACAATCTTTGAGTAAAAAATTGCTCTGTTTAACCTTTACATTTGGAAAAAGTACCATGTATTAAAGGAATGTAACATATCTTTCTTTTTCTTCTCTTTTTCTTTTTAATGTTGAGAACTTTTTATTTATCTGTACAATGTAATTACTCGCATGATAAATTTAAATATAAGAAATCCACAATTGTAACGGAAACAATATCATTCTAGAATTTATCCAAGTACTTATAATTATACAGTAGAAATGATACTAAAAAGAGAATGCTTTTATCTTTTAAGTTAATACTTTCATAGGTTGTTAATATTATGTAATAAAGTTTTTAATATTGTTCGATGCATCAGCATTAACATAAACATAAATACGCATCTTATATTCATTGCTACATTTTATCCAGAACATCCTCTACATCCACAATGGATACATTCTACTATTCTACCTTCTTCAAGTTTGCCTTTAGGTACTCTGCAAATACAATTTGTACCAAAATTAGTGTCTCTGGTTTGTATACAGCGTAAGCAACATAAGTTTTCATATCCCACTTTCTTCCACTTGGCTATCAAATTCTTATCTGCTATATTTTCATTTAGGCAATAATCATATAATTCTGAAAAGAGTTACCGTAATAAATAAAAAAGAAATAAACAAGAAAATAAAATAATTACAGCCTTTTTACTAACCGCGACTTATAGCTTTCCGTCTGTAATATAAGTCGTATATATATCGTGATTTTTGATGATGGATTTTAAATATGGGCCATAAAGATTCTTGTTTTCGTTTTCCCTCATGAGGTTCTGTTTCAGCTACAATTCAAATACAGTGCAATAAGAATTATCTCAAGGAAATATTATCGAAAATACAAATATATTGTGTTTAACATAACCTTCTAACCATAACCTCTATTTTCACTTATCGTTACCTTCTCGCATTTTTTGTTCTAATTCCTCTAACGTTGGTTCAATTAGTTCCCAACCATCCGGTGGTGGTTTCTTACTTCTACGCACTTTTGGCATTTTTAATTTATACAAAAATAACTTTCCACGCACATATATAAACAAACTAGGTTCGCACCGTTAGTCAGACATATATATGTCGACACCAGGCAACTTAAAACGTAAACATGGATGTGTGTACGGAAAATGCGTATAGAAGACGTCCCGAATCGTATCACTGCCAAACTAGGAAGTCGTAAATATATCGTTTATATGTATAAAATGCAAGTATATTGCAAAGAGAATAGATGAAAAAAGTTGAAGAAGTTGGAAAAGGAATAAGTTCAAAAATAAAAGAAAGAATTCATCATCAGTATTTAAAAAATATTATTTGACATAAAAAGATATTTCGAGTTAAATGATATATTTTATAATTAATTTTGTTATTTTAAAGAAAACCTAAGTTTCAATTAGAATATATTATTTTTAAATCTAGTAAAAAATATAACGTGAATCAGTGAACAAATTAATCAACCGATAACCATATGTCTGATGTACAATCACCTCCTGGATACCTGAAAAAAAAGGCGTAATTATTATTTGAAAACACATAAGAGACTCTTGGTAATACAATAAGATACAAACCGCATTTCATGTGCCAGTAAAATGTCATTTTTCTCTTTACCAAAATCTACCAAAAATTCTTCATCTAGTTTTAAACCACCATTTATAACATCAACATCCAACTTGATCATGGTCGAACCATACCTAGAATTACATATATATATATATATCATATGCGCGCATAAAACATGAATATATATTTTGCAGTTTAAAATATAAGTTACAAATAATAAAGGATATTGGATAATAAAAAAAAATGAATAAAATTTGAATTATACTTGACATGTTCAGGATAAAATTGTTGGTCCCATGGTTTAAAAATAGAAGTTGTCACATAAAGGCGTGTTCCATCAAGGCTTAATTGAAGCATTTGAGGAGATCCATAAAGACGACGGCCTTTAACGTAAATTGGATTGGGTTGATTAGCAAGTTCTACATCTCGAATTACGCGAATTTTGGAGTCCCGTAAGATCGAGCCACCAAGAAAAATTTGACCAGTTAATTTTGCATTTTCTGTGTCAGAAATATCATACTGTCTAACATCTCCGTGAAGCCAGTTTGATAAGTAGAGGTACTTGTCATCGAGACTGATCAAGATATCTGTGATCATTCCTATGAATAAGAAAAAAAAAAGAACAAAAAACGAAAGAAAGATAGATAACAAGTTAATGTATATTCTTTATACAATGTTCTATATTTATTATATTTAACCTAACCGCGAGGTATGTACATACATGATTTGAATAAAAAAATTCTCGTTTATATGATTAATGAGTACTTGTTGCATGTATGAACATATTTATAGATTACATTCAAAAGTATATATACCTGACATTTGTGGAGCGATCCATCCCTCTACTTGTTTGGGAGGAATTTGAATAACTTTCTTCGCAATCCACTCAGCATTCGATGTTTTATAAAACTTATATACATTCGATGTGACTGCACATCCGACAAATCCCTCACTAGCTTTTGGATCATGAAGAAATCGTATTTCAAGTGGGGCGATACCATCTTCACCCAAATTTAACACTTGCTTTAACTCTCTTTTATTCCACGAATAAAAATTTAAGCTTCTGCCATAAATTGCTATAGAAAGATATAACAAAAATAAAAATACTAAGTAGCGAATAAAGAAGGGTAGCAGCAAAGAAGTTGATTAAGATATAATGGACAAGGGTGATTAAAAATGTAAATTGAAAAAAACGTTGAAAAAATTATCTATTATATAATACGATATATTCACATGATAAAAACTGATGATATATGAATGTATACAAGTTGTGTATGTGTATACACAAAAAACATAACTTACCAGGATCGTAGCTATCAGTTATAGCATAGCCCCTTTTGAAAATTCTAGGTACACCCCATTCAGTTGCTACAAGTACATCGTGGTATGGTTGATACCAGAAATCATAACCGAACATTGCTCTTTTTGTTCCTGTGGACCATGTGCCTTTGACTTTGAGTGTTTCAGCATCGATGCAAAGAAATTCACCCATAGCATCTCCATTTGGTTTACCTAATGTAGAAATTAAAATTTCTCTGTTTGGCGAGCAATGACTTGTATGCAAAGTTGATACTCCATATTGATTTATCTCCGTCGAATTCAATACCTTGTTAAGGAAAGTACAAAAATATACAATCTACTGTAAATCTTGGAATAATATTTACACAATGAATAATATTTAACAAACTCATGTAACATAGATACATATAACACGATACAATTATTAGAAATTAAATAAAATTAAATTTAAGTTGATTTAAGGTAATTATAAATTACAATGGAATATTCATAAAATTATTTGTTATTCATATACCCATATAATCATATAAGATATTGAACCTTTTTCATTGATGGAGCACGTTCATTGGTTGTATCAATAAAATAAACACGATCGGACATTAGGCATGGAAGCACTAAAGTATTTCGTTTTTGTGATTGACCATGACAACTGCTACAAATATTCCAACCAGAATGATGAAGTTCATCACCAACATAGGGCATTCGCAACTTGTGAATGATCTATAAAATATAAATATTCTGTGCGAATAAAATTTTACATGTATAGAATATTTCTATAAAAGTTTCATCTATAAAATATGTTTTCCATTCTTTTTTCCTTCAATATGTGTAATAATTACACAAAAAATATGTTTGTATGCATACAAGTAAATATTTTTCATTCAGTATTGTATTGTAAATGTAATTTATATTTCTGCTATAAAATGTGAAGATACGAATCACCAACGCATCAATATATTGATAATTCATTGTTACATATTTTTTTCGTTCGTTCACATTTTCCGTAATAAGATGTGAGTTATTGTCCTACTGGAATACAAACAGGGATTTCCAGTAGTCAATCTTTTTTGCTGTATATGCATTCCCGTTTATCGGTATTATGTACTATAGTCAAATTCCATATATGACTGAAACAATATAATATAGGCAACTACAAAATATAAATATTTGCATGTAATTCCAATAAGTCCCAGTCGTTGATGAAGAAAACATTTGAAAAAAGCGGAAAGAGTAAAGAAATAAATCCTAAATTTTAAATTTCAGTATCAGGAATTCAATAATTTTTTAGATATAAATAAAAAACTTTTAGTACGGCGCATCGAATTTTACCTACACGTACACGTCTGTAACAGTGCATGAGTCAGCATACTCGTTCCTTTTGACGAAATTTCTTTTCCATCAGCTGTTGGGTCTCTTCGGAATTTTATTCGAATATTTATGTACACATATAGAATGCGAAACTATTCTGAACATTATAACTAAACCTAGATATGTATCGGTAAAAATCATTATACCTTGCAGTAATCATCACTAGTGGGATCTATGTCAACAGTGCACAGGACATCAGATTTATTTGAATCCGTATGAACACAGACAACATACATGAGTTTCTCACGCGGTCCTTCGAGTATAGCTGCTTTTGGTGATTTATAACCAGGACCGCTGCAACCTGAAGAACCTGAAGAAGAAGTTCTTCGCTGAATAATTAAGGAACAAAATAATTTCATAAACATACCTTGGTTTTTGAACATTCTCGTGACGATTATTTTCTGTACACTAATTGATATTAAACAACGTATAAATTTTATGCAGTCAAAGGATTGTTGAGAAATGAAAGAACTAAAACTTAAAAAAGTAGTAAGAATAATAGAGAAAAACAGAGAAGGAAATTAATAAAAAATGATATTATTTTAATTATAAGAAAACGTAAGCATTTAAAAATTTAAATGAAATTAATTTTGACAATTTAGTAATAACTTGTTAAATACGTACAACGTAGTACGTGTAATTCGAATGCAAATAAAGTTGTTGAATGATCATCCGAGAACGTTACTCGTGCGAGATAACAGCAGTGAAACTCAAAGAGAATTCTTCCATGTGCTTATATAAGTACATACATACTATCGCGAATAAGTTGTATAGAAGAGACTTATCACTATACAGTTCTCTGTGCTTCACGAACGGAAATATCAATTGTGCAAAATATCTGAGATTGTCTCAGTAATACTGTAAACTTATTCTATGCTAAGTTGATGACGTTGAAAGTTTATTATTTATTAATTTACATATTTAATTAATGCAAATACAAATGAAATTTAATATAAAATTTCGCAAGATAACATTCAAAGCTATACAAATATAGTAATGGAGCCACTTAAACTTTTGAATTTAGTAATTAAAAGTTTATTAAACGATAGAATTATGCTGCAATTTTAATAATTTGTTCGGTATATTAATTGTGAAAGAAATCATAACGGAGAAATGGAAAAAATCTTACAATTCATGCGCGCATTGTGTCACATGTTCTGAAATATCGATATCGAAAACATGATTGTAGGGGTTTTTTGTTCACTAACATTTATCACAGTGGAGAATAAACATCCCACAATTTACGGAAGAGGAATTTTATTTAGTAATTATATAAATATACATGTTATCTAGTCAAGAACTTTCGTTGTATTGCAATATGGCGATAGCGTGAATCTTTTTAAGCAAACCGCCAGATGTCGCTTGACGTTCTTTCAACGGTGTGAGTAATTATCTCGCCACATAATATTGTTTCTTACGCTCAGTGTTTTTCATTGCAGTAACGATTAGAAAAATATTCACATGAATGGTGAAAGATGACAAAATCACGACAAAATAGCTATTATAAAAAGGTATTAGTTTGTTAAGCTTTTTCAGGATAATCTGTCATATAGCATAATTGGCTGCCAGGATAGTCTCATAGACAAAATATAGAATAAATCTAACATTATAAAGATTTTCGCAATCAAACATTTCCTGCTTTACCGACCTAAAAATATGATACTGACTATAGTGTTCTCTATACAAGACAACAATCACTTGGAGGAATATTTATCATGGTGATTTGGAGCCAAACATAAAATATGTGCATGAAAATGCAAGAACTTTGTTACATGAGAATTGTATTGGTTCGCAATGTTAGAACGAACTGATTGTTAGAAGTGTAACTTGCGAGACACGAGACTACCAAGCACTCGACGTCTCGCGAACTGTGCACTAGTACGCCAGCGAATACGTTACGCATCAGCCTGAAAGAATGGAACGATTGCGTAAGGATAATCACTCATTTTGCGATTCGAACGATAGCAGGAATTTTTTCAAATTAAGTGGTATTCGCGATTTCAGTCTAGCCTCCATGGTACCAGAAGGTAGCCTTTTAGAGGCTAGACTGGACTGCCAGCACTGCGTAGCTCTTACAAGGAGAGTGCGTCCTTTGGATCACTGACTTAGTTGAAACTTTGTAAGTTTGTAGATTTCGTCATGGAGTTCAAGGATATATATCATTATAGCCGCAACTACTCAATAGTTTTTGAGATATTTATGATTAAAGTTTTATTATATCTTTAACTATAGATTTATTTCCAATTGTTTCCAAGTGGAGTTGTGGCCTAACAGCGATATTCGAAACTTCCGATGCTGGAAATCCGGGTTTCGATTCCTGTCCATAGTTGATAGTGTCCACTCTATGCTGTTATGTAGAAAAAACGTAATCAAAAAGCCTAATATCTGAAATAGAAGAAAAAAAATTCTATTAGGCAGCACGATTTCGTAGTCAGAGACACCTTCGTCACTAAATTTCGGACACGAATGCTGGAAATCATAGAAAAATCGGCATACGATATAGAGATAAGCCTAATCAACGCTGCAATGCAGGGAGAACCTAATCCAAAAGCCTAATGTCGGCAAAATATAAGCGAAAGAATTGAACTGTGTAGAACGATCTCACAGGCACTACTTATACTTCTATCACATTATTTCACATGTACACCTTCACTTTTCTCCACATGTGGTTTGTTACTGCCGAACAAATGTTCACAGTTATTTATCCTGTTCTTGGTAAAGTTCTCGTAATTTGTTAACCTTGTGTTGTGGTCCTTTCGTATATGTCACGACAATGTGTAAAGGTTGTTTATTGTTCCGAAATAATAACTGATACTGCGTGTTATTGTTCTTAAATATTTCTTTAATCAATTGCAGTAATTGGAAGATTGATCAAGAATAACACTACTTCGCGGAACGTTTTGTTCAAGGACTGAAAGTTTCACTGTAACGCGTGTAAATATTGCATCATGTGCTACAGGTATCGCGTAGACTAGAAGTGTTCTGCGATTGGACAAAGCTGTTCCTTGTTTTCGCGAGAAGATGCTTCGTCTTTGAAATATCCATGTGCTAAAGTATCGATATAAAACATCAATCGATGTTTCTTATATTTATTAATATTAATGAAGCAAATATAAATATATTTCTGTTGCGAAAAATTCCAAATTTCTATAATTAATTCATGAACTTGAATTATTAATTATTCCATTATACTAATAGAAAGATAAACGATTAGTATCTTCGGCAATAGTTGAAACACTCTATGCAATAATCACCAATAATGATTTAAATTACAACGAATTCATATCAAGAATTATATTAGAAAGTACGCTAAGGCTGTGCCTTTACGATGAAATTTTAAAAGTTGATGAATTAATTATAGACGAACGCGAAGTCACAGTTGAAGTTGAGTGATTTTATTCTTGGTAAAAAGAAAATGAAAGGCAATGATTATATGCTTAGGTACTTTTTATTCACTTTGAAAGTTTCACATGTACACGTTAATTATTATCGACATAATAAACAATGACATATAGACATTAGAATCTGAGTAGATGTCCGTATCACGGACCGTTGCGAGAAAAAGATGTTTCGTAATACATATCACGTAACAATTATCATTATAATGACCATATATATATATGTAACAATATTTGTATATCGTCAATAGGTCGTCCTCAATTGGCGACGGTTAATGACGAACCAAATTTCTTGAGGAACGTTGTGTTTATAGTGGACTGTATTTTATGTAGTAGTTTCGGATAACTCTTCTGAACTCTTCGAATGTTATTGATTGACTCCTCTGACTGACTGACTGACTGATACTGACTCGGTGGTTATATAATCCTGGTCTCTCTGCTGATTGGTTGCTATGATGTTGGGGGTGCATGTTAACTTCAGCGTCTTTCGATGGTGGTGGTGGTTGTTCAAACAATCTGGATAATTGTGCTTGTTTTCTTGAAGGGTTATATATAGTTGTTTGTTGCGGATTACCTAAGTGGTGGCTTAGGTGCTAAAGAAATCAAAGGGCGCTGACAGTAAGGATATAAACAACCTCACTACTTGGGACATTGCGGTCCTAGGGTCTCATCAATGGTACTTGAGAAATTTCAGAGCCTTCACACAGTCTATTCTAAACAAAGGGCCGAACGAAATACCTGGGCGACATTCCAAGGCTTAACAATATTTATAGACATATACACACTACTGCAAATGATTCTATTTAAATACATGAGTTATCCTAATAATTCTAGATATTGATTTATCTTGCATCTATCTCTCTTATCGTGCATCTCCTCGGCTTTCTCTTGTGACGACAACCGACCTGAATCATCGATATGACTAGACCTCCAAAATCCAAGACGCAATCCTGTGACATTAGCCTACACGAATCACCAGACGACCGAAACCCCTTCCAAACCATCCAGGACAAGATAATAAGAATATATATATATACCCCAACCCAAAACCGAAATAAAGTCAGTCTAACTCTAAACCTATACACGTTGTCTTTTCTATACGTTATACCTACTCGTATAAAAGCCTTCGTGAATATTTTCACTCGCGTGTCTAAGCTAGTCCCGTGACATTCTCGTGCTAAACCTCATAAGGAGTTCCTTATTCCCTATTCATTTTCCTTCATATATCTTTATCATCTTCAACATCATCTATTTTATAACTTTCTACATTCTTCGGTTCCCTTTTTGCATCTCTCAATTTATTTTTTATCCTTTCCTTCACTGCTCTGAAAATATAAATATAAGAGACAGTCAATAAAAATTTCTACTTTTTACAACCTATTTATAACTAACTCTTTCTCTTTCTTTATAACTTTTAATTCTTCTCGAGTTTTTACTT